CAAAAAACAGAATCAAAAAAGCTTTAGATTTTAATTTTTTCTTAAGGCTTCGTAACTGAAAAAATTATTTCAATACTTACAGTACTGGATGGATTTAGTTTTCATGCCCTTGTTAACAGCTCTTCATTCAATCTGCAATGTGTCAAAAAAGTTATAATTTTCTGAAAAGATCAAAGCAAGAAATTTATTCAATTAAAAAGTTTTCAGATGATATTAGAAATGACCATGAATGAAATAACACTTTTAAATTTTTATCGAAAATTTAAAAACGCTTTTCAATTACACCGGATGAGTAGACTTCTTTATAATATTGAAGGTACGTGAATAATAATATTCATCAAAAACACACTTATTAACACTACATCACTTATCAACACTACATCAAAAACACACTTGGAATCTGGGCTTAAATCAAATTTCTGGATCATTGTCGGTTGAAAAAGCTGGAGCAGTTATCACAGAAAAAGTGGCCAAATGTGGGTTGAACATTAATCATATTATTTTTTGCTCCTTCACAAATTGAGCTTTCATGATGGTAAAATTTGGAAAACAGTTTCTAACTGCATTAAACATGTTACACCCATGTAGTGAATTTGGCAGTTCAAAAAATGCTGTTATAACACATTGCAAGTAACAAGCGAAAAACCGATTATAACACATTGCAAGTAACAAGCGAATAAGATGATGTTAGCAGTGACAAATTCAAGTCTGACGCCGAAATTATTTCTTCTTAATTCCATTTTTGAAAACATTCCTATTTCAAAAGTAAAAGTACACTTACAATCTGTCATTAAAATTGTCAAGTTATATCAAAAATTTTCAGTCAAAAATAGCGTCATTCAAGAAGAAATCAAGAAACAGTATGGAAAAGAGGTTTCCGCTAATCCTTGAGTGCAAAAAAAGTTAAATGTAACAAGATAGAACAGTCTACTGTTGATGGTTGAATAGCTTCTGAGAGATAGGTTCAATCAGAAATAGGTTTCTCCACATTTGGTTTGCAGTAATGATGAAGTAAACTTTTTATATGATATTGTTCCTGCTCTTGAACCAGTCATATTGGCAGCATGCAGCTCTTTTTACAGCTGAGGGAATATTCAATTTTTTTGTAAACAGATTTTAACAAGGAAATTCAACTTTTTGCATAGCGCAATTTTGTGATTATTCGGAGAAAGGCAAAGAAATTTTGAAAGAAATTTTGAAAATACATTTCCAATCTTGAATGTTTAGCCGACATTGAAGATCATAAAGTTTTCAAAATGCCTTTGTCTGTCTTACTTCATAAGACCGCCAAATTTGCTGTCTAGGTTTTTCCCAACAAATTTAGATGACTTGGAATTCATTTAAAACAATTTTTGCTCAGCAAGTCTCAAAATCAATTCCTTTTCAATTTAAGATGAACACGAGGATGGAATTCAGCATTTGGACAAAAAACCACAGTTCAAACAACAAATACGAAACCATTTTTGAAGAAATCATAGTCTATGAAACTACTGGAAAGCTATTAATCTTGAAATTTTGTTCAATACACTTATTAGTAAAGATATTAGATCTAAACTTTATAAAGATATTATTTAAGAACAAACACAAAAAATGATTACGACTTACTAGTAAATTTAAAAGTCGCTAAAAGTTTAACTCTAATAAAAAAGTGACATTTTATAGCTACTTTTTTGTAAGTATGGCAAATGAGCAGTCGAAATTTTCTTGTTAGTTTTTCAGAAGTTTGTTGCAGTGCAAAGGTTTAAGCAGTAACAAGCTTGCTTTTTACTGCAAAATTCTTTGCACTGTAAAGTAAAATATTATTTTTAGGAAGAAAATATGTATCAGACAAAACTCTGTTATTGAGACTATTATGCATAAATTTTGTTTTCTATGGAGATAATAGATTTTCAGCATTATAACGATGAGAGAGGGATATGATTTTTTGTTATTATAGTAGATTAAATAGATAAAAAAATAGGGAAAAAGATTTGAATGTCAAACTTTGCGTGCAAAAAGTTTCTATAGACCTTGATTTTCCTAATTATGAATACCTAAAAACATTATCCATAGCTGGACTTATATGTCTAAACCAACATGACTGTTTTTATATGTCATCGTTTAAGTAATTTATATATAACATTGCTACTCTTTTTATTAAAAATTTTAGATTTATTATAGCTTGTATACCTTTTTACAGTTATTAACACGGCATTAGTTTTTGGCTAAAAATCTTCTTACGCTAATTGTTCGCGCGACTATCAAAATTAAGTATAGTGTAGATTGGAATTTTTTCACGTTTATTTCAGTCTACACTAAAATATGCAGTTAAGTAAACAAGGTTCATGGCTTAATTGGTCAAGAAATGAATGTTTTAAAGTGGTAATATGTTATAATATAACTTATTTTTTTTCGTTTGTGGAAGAATATATGCATTTTTACACAAACTTAGTATTACTTTAATCATAATAAGTCTTCAAAATGAATGATTCCATCCCCCTGTGAAAAAACTCAAAACAATATTGTGCTTTCAAGTTGTAACTGTTAGAAGTATACCTAAAACGTCCGTATTACCTTAGTAAACTTAAACAAGGAGAGAAAAACGTTTATAGGACAAGAATTCTAGAAATAAAGTTTACATAAAAGTAAAATAAGAAAGACAAAGTAAGAAAGAGTGGTAGTGATAAAAAATAAACAACTATAAACAAGTTATTTGCATGAAAATAATTTACAAATACTTTTATTATAAAAAAGTTTATGTGAAATTTTACTTTTACATAAACTTTTATGTAATAAAAGTATTTGTATATAACATTATTATATATAATTTATTAAATTATATTTGTCTGAATTATTACCCCCACATGTAAATCGCTTAATGTAAGATGGTCTGATCTTTATTAAAGGATAATGATTGAAATTCTACAACTCTAAAATAATTAATAATTAGTTTATAGTTGTATAATTTCTATTTAAACCCACTGATTAAATTAGGTCTATAATTATGTAAAAACACATAACAAATATCTGTTTGAATCATACCCTCCCCTTGAGTAAACTACTAAACTTGCGTCTGAATTATTTCCTTCCTCCTAGTAAATCATTCAATAAAAAATAATGTGATGAGTGATGTATTAAATAGTAAACAACTATAAATTTTTAGTTGCATATTTAATTGAAAATACTTAACAAATACCTTTTTAAGTTTCTAAATTACGGTCTTCCCCTAGTAAATTGTCAATGAGATGGTATGATAATGTTATAAAGTGATAGTAATAGTAATTATGCAACTATTTATCAATAAGTTATAAAATTATGCAAAAATGATTAACAAACATACTCTCGGAATTGTCACATTTTCCTTGTAAATTATGCAATATGAGATGTATGATACTGGACTGAATGATATAAATTAAGATTAAATTTTACTGTAACTGGTAATTTCTAGAGCTTTTCATGTTTAAATTGAAGGACCTTTTTTTTTACTATAGAATAAAAGGGTTCTGCTAATTTTTCATCTTCTTCTTCTTCTTCTTCTTCTTCTTTTTCTTCATCTTCTTCTTCTTCTTCTTCTTATTATTATTATTATTATTATTATCATTATTATTATTATTATTATCCTTTTTGAGTTTTATGTCTAAACTAAAACTAACCTATTTGTATATTTTAGTTTAAGGATTATTTTATTTATAATATTTATTTATAATATTATTAAATATATGAAGGATAAAGCCTTCTATATTGGCTTAAAATTAATTATAGACTATTAAATTCACTGCACTATAATTTATTGATTGTATAATAATATGTAAACATGATATTGAAAATTTCATCAATAGCTTGTAGAACTGATTGAGAGTTTAATTCTTTTATTTCATTGAAACATTTAATTAGCTTAAAATGCAGAAAAGTATAAGTTAGAGATAAAGGATGAAATTTGTCAGAAAAATGTTTGATATATTAGGAATAGTATGAGAACATACATTTGACTCGACGGAGAGAAGCACCATTAGTGGGAGCAGGCATTTCAATTAATGGCTTTAAGCAATCTGGATCAAAGGAATAAGAGAAACTTTTTATAATAAAAACTAGGAAGTTTATACTCAAAGTAGACAATATATACTTTTCTTCATTGAACTTAAACACTGCTTTCTTAGAAGCTTTGAGAAATTTATCTAAATTGAAATCATGTTTATTTATGGAAGTACCACACACAAGCAAGTTATCTATTTATTTTCTTAAATAAACAAATTCTTTGAAATTGTGCAACCGCATTAGTGAGGCCAAAATGAATTTATTTAAATCGGAAAAAATGTCCATTGGACTCAAAAGCAGTGTAATACTTGTCACTTTCTAGTAGAGGTATTTGGTGATAAGCACTTTTTAAATTAAATGTGCTAAATAATGAATTTTTTGCTACAGAGTTAACTAATTCATTGATGTTAGGTAAAATATGAGCATCGAGTAGTGTAAAGTGATTTATTAATTGTGAGTAATCAATGACCATGCCTTTCTTATATCTCTCATTCCTGGTAACAACTATTTGTGATCGCCAGTGTTACTGGGTTCAATTATATCTAGTTTCAAAAATATTTTTTGTTTCTTTTTTAATAAATGCTTTGTCCTCTGAGTTATACCATCTAAAACGTAAATCAATTGGTTTACATTCTGGAGATAGAAAACGGAAAAGAGTACTTGCTTTGATTGTAACACTTGTTCAAGAACAGATTTTTAAAGAATATTTTTCGTTACCATAATTGATATTAAACTTTCGTGCAACTGTAGAAAATCTCTACGAAGTGTGATTTATTCACAAGAATTGGGTATAACTAAAAAGTATGCATAAGAGTACTTCATACCAAATAAAGTGAAGTTAGTTAAAACTTTACCTATAACTTGACAAGATAAGGTTGGTTCAGCCATAGAGACTGTTTTATTAGAAATATTTTAAGTTTTAAAGAGTTACATAATGGTTTGCTTAATAATGTGTCAGAACTTCCAGTGTCAAGAAGACCTTAACCTTAACCCATAGCAATAAAGATATAAACAATAGAATTGAGTGAGTTGGTAGAAGAGCAAGTAGTCAAGGCTAAACTTGGTACATGGAAGGTTGCAACAGCAGACGTGACAACGTTCTTTGATGATTTGCATACTTTCTTGAAATGCCCTTTCTTACGACAGTTGTTACATTCGGCCTCTCTGGCAGGACATGATTGTTGAGGGTGACGTTTCCTTCCACAGAAATAAAAAAGTCCACTAGCCTCAGTAGAAACTGAAGCAAGCTCATCAGTACATTCAGAATGTTTATTAACTGTAGCAACATAAATATACTCTGTAAGTGAATATGTTTTGTTATTTCTTTGAGCGTTTTCCAATGAACGAGCTGGATTATAGGCCTCAGAAAGTTTAAGAGTAGAGTTTTTTATTGGTCGTTGGCGAATATGATGATTGCTTAGACCACTTATTAATGAATCATGTATTATTAATGAATAGTGTATTCTTCACAAGTTTCAGATGCAGAAAACTGTTTAAAGTTGCAACCTTTACCTAAAGAAGTAAAGTGTACCTAAGGCCTGCAAAAATTCATCAGTAGATTCTCCAGATGATTGTTTACGTGAAGGTAACTGATGTCTGGAAAATAATTCATTTTTAGGTTTTACAAATGAGTTTTTCAGGATTTCTATAGCGCTCAAATAATTCAATGTCAGCAATAAAGTCAAACACGGAAGGAGATAAATAGTTAATAGGGACATCTAATTTATCTTCTGTTAGTATAGTTTTTATGAAGTTTGTAAAAGTTTTAAACCAGTGAGACGATTCTTTATGAGCTGATGCAGAATTCGGATTGCTGTCTCTTTACAATGACATCACAAATGGCGGACGCTTTTTTCAAACGGATAAAAGCAACTTTTTCAGGAAGGAAAAAAGAAAAAAAAAAACATAAATTAAACTAATAATTAAATCAACTAAAAAAAGAATAAATAAACATTTTTACATAATTTGAATTTAATAATTAATTAATATCTCCTAAAGAATAAATAAATATTGTTTGAATTTGAATATAACATAATTTGAATTTAATAGTTAAATAATATCTCCCAAAGTGAGAAAGTTTACCAAGGGTTTGGAGTAATGGCAATAATCTCCTACCAAAGTATTGCATTGCCATTGTGGGTGTTCCATATTTGCAAGAAGCCTTTTTCTAGGTACTCTTTTAGATAAACTTTACTATACATAAAATTTATTAGAAAATTTTTGTGATTTTAATTCACATTAATATTTGGCTTGCCGAACCATAATACTTTGAGGAAATTTCATAAGTTTTATTGTTTAAAACTTAGTCTTGACTATTTTCCTGCATATTTAAATGTTCTGGTATTATTTCAAATTTAATTTCAGTACAGTTATACAATTATTTGTATAAATGTCTTGCACAACTTCTTGCTAACAAATTTTTTGAATTGGAATGAACTAGAGAAAAAAAAGCTTCAACCATATAAAAATCTCATTTAAATCAATGTGTTTAAAAACCTGGATCAAATAATTAATTTAATACACTAAATTTTTAGTCTTATAAACTTTATAGACTCAAGCTGCATGTATTGCTTTATATGTGACAGACTTAAATTTTTTTGTATTTTTTTATTAATTGTGGTGCTCCTAAGGTAACAAGTCCAAAAAATCTTGAAGAAAACATTATTACTATTGTAATTGGATATTAAATACTTTTTATAATCTTTACTATTACTTTTAAGTGCTGTTATCACACTATATTTTAATTTACTTCTAATTGTATTAGAATTACTGTTATTATCATTTTATTATTATTGAATATGACAGGTGTTTACATCATATTAGTACCTTGGTTAAACAAATTTTTTCAGGATATATTTGATTTAATTTGATTTGTATGCCAACTGTTAAACTTTTTAAGTCTTTAAATTTGATCATACTATATTTATCCTCTTAATTTTAGTCATTAACAATTAACATTTAAGGTGTCCTGGCATTATTTTGGTGAAAAATGGAAAAAAGAAATTAAAAAATTGAAAAAATTTAGACAATTAAATCTTGTAGAATTCAAAAGCTAAAAAAAATTTGAAAATAATATTAGAATACCCAGAATAAGGTAATTTTTAATCACATAATAACAATCATAGCATACATTTTTTTCTTTCAGTTTGTCTGGCAGATGGAGTGATGCAGTGTTAACTTTTACCTTTGTAATGAACATGCCAACACCTCTATCAAATCCTAGTTTTAACTGTATTAGTAGCAAACTTTATGATGTTTATAAATAAGTTGCTGAGTTAAGTATGAAAAATGCTGCTTTGGAAGTTAGGAGAATATTGAAACCTGGTTCTAACATAAATGTTTTAATTGATTGTGGTGTTTCTGTTGGTGGTACCTTGCAGCGGAGAGAATCTTCTTAATTGTTTTCTGTATTTGAATATTTTGTACCAAGGGTGAAAAAAACTAGTGTAAAAGGCAGTTGATAGAGCAACTTTTCAAGTTACATACAAAGAAAATATGAAAGAATAGATGTATGCGTATTTGCTAATATATGTATGCAGGCTAAGTTTGGAGGTGAACCATCATTTGGCAGTGGCTAGGCGTTTTTATTGTTTGAAGAGTAGACGGTAATTTATGTTTGGCAATGACTCGGCGTTTTTGTTGTATGAAGCGTAAACAGAAATTTGGATAAACACAAAGCGATAACCATCGTATCATGGTGCTTTTGCAAAACCTTTTAAATAATCTGGAAATATACTATATTCAGTCTGGAAATGTGATTACATTAAACACCATAACAAAATGAAAAAACCATTAGGAAAAAAAAAAGTTCTAATTTCTTCAATAGCGGTTTCTCTGTGACAAGACCTGATGGTCTTCTTTGAGTATCTGCGTTCTTAATATTTATTTTTTATTCTTTATTTTTCAACAATATCTTGACTTGTTAACTTTTCTTTTTTTATATTATTTGTATCTGTATTATAAATATTGTAATAAAGAAAAAAAAAAGAAAAAAAAAAAATGGATTTATCAATTGCCATTAATGAAAAGATCAAGCCTTTTCAAGATCTAGCAAATACGTTTACACGGCATTACTCAAAATGGAAATAGTGTTTAATCAATCAATTTGGAACAGTTTCTCTAAAACTATATTTACCTTTAAAGCTGTTGTTGAAATGGCTGTTTACTCTGCAACCACTATTTATAATGGCAATTTCGCAAAGTTATCTTATGCATTTAATACTCTTATTATTGAAACTGGTAGTTACTTTAAAATTAGTGCAAGTAAAAAAACTCCAGAAGGTTAAAAATTATGAACAAAAAATGTCAGATAAAATAATTAAAAAAAAAAATTAAGATCAGTTAGAAAAAACTATTTTGGAAAATAATAATATAAAAAAACTGCTGTATAAAGAGTAGCTGCATGTTTTATGTATTTTAGAGTTAGTTTTGTTTTCCTTGATGCTTTGGCTAATAAAAGATTTATAAAAAAATAATAAATAATATAAGAAAAGCATAAATTCTATTTTTTTAAAATATGTAACAGTAATAGTCGAAATTAGGCGTAAAACACAAAAAAACTTGAAGTTTAAAAATGTAAATTTTTATTTTTAAGAAATGAAAAATAGGGTGTATCGAAAAACAACTTTTTTTGAATTTGAAATTGTAATAGAGCGAAAAAGTTGCATAATGATATAAAAAGTAATAAGCCAAATTATTTTGTATTTTTTTTATGCCTTCAGTTCGCGCTAGGGTTTTATTTTTCGTAGAAAAACACGTTTTCTGACCTTTTTTACAAAATAAAAATAAAAAAGTCTATGCATATACTAGAGTTGTAATAGAGTTTAAACATTAAACAATGACTAAGTTAGAAATGGTTACAATTTTTAAGAAATTATTTTAATGTCTTTAAGTGACGCTAGTGTGCTGAGTATTGACAAAAAAACACTGTTTTTTATTTAAAACAATTTTAATTATGTTGTTGATGCTTCCACTTGTCGTCACCTGTCTTCACTGTTACAACAATTGAACAAAAGTAATTAAAATGTAATAAACCAAATAATGCCAATGGTTAAAGTGATGATTTTAAAATGACATTAGTATGTATGTAAAATGTCACTAATTACGTCATTTATTACCATCACCATCAGCATTATTAGAAAATTAGCTAAAAGCACAGGTTATAATTTATTAGTTCTGATTTACATTTGTTTATTAATAAAATAAATTGAAATCAAAGAAAATTTTAACGGCAAAAATGTCTTCCACTGCAGTGACAATAAGAAAAAAGTCTACTTGTCCTATCTTTGGTTCACCAGCTGACTTACGAGCAAATGTTTTGCCAACATACAAACATGTCATGCTAAGTTATCTTTTGTCAATGCAGAAAATGAGAGTGGAAACTGGTGGAAAACAACCTTCTTTGAAAAAATTATCTGAAAATTTGGCGCACAAAATAGAAAATTTGTGGGTAAAAGCATCGATACCTACTGTGTCTCATAAACGCATAGTAAAAATGTTTCTTGATTGCAATCAAAAGTATAGAAATATTATGAAGTCTGTTAACATAACGAAACATACAGACAAATTGAACTCGAAAATAATAACATTTCAAAAGCATGCAGAAAATACTTAACTTGACATTGCAGCATGCAAATGCCGTGATTTTTCTAAATGCATCTGTGAAAAAGCAAAGAAGGTACCAGAGAAAGAACATGAGTTTCTTAGCGATCAGAGATTTATGAGGATTTTTTTTATTATTTTTTTATATTTTTAACATCTTCGCTTCCAACAAGGCTGGAACCAACCACTAATTAGTGTTGGAAGTTACTGGAAGAGAAAAGATGAAGATTGTAGAGCAAGATAACAATTGACAGACGACTTAAAAGATTGCAAGTTATATGAATCAGGAAAGCAAGATGAAGGAAGCGAATTCCAAAGAACTGATGTTCGAGGAAAAAAACTAGATGAATAAGAGTTTTTGGAGCAATGTACCGTTAGTAAAAAAAAGTTCGCATACTTTTAAAGGATTTTTAAGACCAGATCTTACTTAATAAATTTTTTTAAATATTAAGTACTAAGGAGATAATTTGCACATACAAACAGTGGTGGAATACAGCCACTGGTGGATTAAAGCATTACGTGCCTTTGTCAGAGATATTTTAAGAGCCAATTTAAGTATATGAAAAAAATAAAATATATAATTATAAAATTATTTTAGGTGAAGGTAAGTAGTCAATTTATTTGTCTTATATTATATTTAATACAAGACAAGTAATTTTGAATACAACATTCAAAAATACATATATTTAACTAATTAATGCTTTATTTTACTAGATTTACGCATTACTATAAGTACTAAAATTGAGTAGCAAGTAAAAAATTTAATTACAAAATGTCAAATTTCATTTCTTTATTTAGCCCTTACATAATCTGTAACAATATCTGAAAAATCCATATTTTATAGAATTGGCTTCTATACTTATAATAGATAAATTGCTTGGCTTTTTGTAATTTCTTTTTTGAATAATATAATGTTATTAAAAATACAGAAAGATGGGTGGTGTGATTAGTCAAACTTGCATTTTATTTTTTTTTACGAAATAAAATAAATAATCCCGTTGACAGAAAAATTGCATCAACTATTTATTTTACTTTAATTCTATTTAGAACTTTTAACACTTAAAATACATTTGACATATGACATTTTTAAAAAACACTTGCAAGTTTTTTGTTTAAGTTGTAGACAATGACGGTTTACCCAATAGGCAAACTAGGCAGTTGCCTAAGCCCGTTTTATTAGGTTTAAGTTTAAGTTTTTAGGGTTTAAGCCCGTTTAAGTTGAGTAAAATAAAAAGTTAATGCAATTTTTTGTTATTTATGACTTAATTTAAAAATCGGGTTGTTACTCAAAAAAGCTTGAACAAAATAGCAGAAAGTTAAACAAAAAAAAAAAAAAAAAACGATTTTTCTTTTTGAAATTATAATTTTTTATTTGGTTATTAACTGTTAGGTAACAGGGACAAAACATTAGGAAGGCAGGAGGGATTTCTTTTCTTTATAAATTAATCTAAATTAAATAAATCTAAAAAAACTTACTTTTTTTTAACTTTTAACTTAAGAAGCTTTTTTTTTTTTACTTTTTAAACTTCGGATATGAAAGCGCGCGCAATACATTTTTTATACGTTAGGGTAATGGAAGAGACGTGAATATATACAAATATTTACGTCTCTTCTAATGGGGGCGCAGGGTGCTTGAAATAAGTTTTACTAAAAGCTTATCTAAATGGCACTTTTCTGCCTTTTTTTAAAAAGCTTATGGGAATGCAATCATCAACAAACAGTTAGACACAATATAAATGTAAAAAAAACATAACTTTTGGTGCTACTTTACTTAAGGCCATACGAACACGGTAAACGTAAGAAAGTATAATTTTGGTTATAGAGCTAATTTGTAAGAAAGTTAATGAGATAATAGTTTCCTGACGATTTGCTTTTTAAACGTTTTCTATTTATTTATGATCACTATGGCATTCTAAATAATGTAAAAAAATAAAAATAAGGCATTTCCTTGAAATGATGTAATAACCAAATTTATAATATATGTGTAAAAAAGTCTTTACCTACTACAAAAAGCTGCAAATTTTTTTAAACAAACATAATATCAATTTTATTTCAATAAATAGCATTGCAATAAATGTTTACTCAAGTTCAAACAGTATCAAAATTCCCTAAATTGCATGGGTAATGGACTCGAACTTTGTTAATCAGAGTTGCCTTCGCTGAGAGATAGTTTACCATACAGAATTTATTGCGTGATAGATCACATTTGAATACAAGATGTATGTGTATACAAATATTTAAAATAAAAAGTGTTTGGATGTCAGCCAATTCTACAAAATTGTTGGTCTCAGAAAAATATGCAGTCAATTAACTTGTCCTTGAATGAAAGACATTGGAAAATTAAGAACTTAAAAAAAAAGGAGATGTGTATGCAAACATTCTCGATAAGTTATTTGTATTAAAAAAATGTGTAAAATTTTATGCTGTAATAAAAGTGGTTGCAACGGTTTTTTAAAACCCATCAGACTTGCATATGTCCAAAAGTAACAAAGATACGTTTACAAGAACTATTATTCCTAAAAGCTCAAAGAATTAAAATTGGAAACAAAAGTTCTTTAAAAATAAAACTAGTTGGAGTATAAGAGAAAGATCAGTTAACAAGATATTTGGGTAAAAAAGAATCAGAATCTAAAACACCTCGAATATATAGCGAGGATATAGGTAGATGCTAAAATATAACAAATATTTTTGTAAATTTTTGTTGAAACAGTGAATTAAAAAATATAGTATAACTGTTTTATCAAAAATGATTAGCGTAATTTGAGCACTTATTTTCTCATTTAGCGGTAGAAATTCAAACAACATTAGACAACATTAGAGGATTCAGACATTAGCAACAAAAATGCAAATAATTCAGAAAACTCTGACTTGATTTTAAGAAAAAAATACTTAGATATTACCAGGGTTTCCTAAGCAGCTATTGGGTACCATGATTTTTGAAACTCTTTAGTTGCTATTACCACAAATTTAAACACTGGTTGGAAAGGAATTGTTATCTACTACTTTGAACATAAATTGAATAAAATACTAATGTGGATTATTTGTGCTTTTTATAGAAATGCACTACCTCGCCGACTTCTTATAATTCAGTTTGACGGAAAAACAGCATCAAAAATAACTTTTCTGGTTCTATTGGAAAACTGTAAGGTTACTAGTTTCAAATTCAAAGGTAGCATTATAAAATTGAATTTCCTAATGCATTGATAGAATTTAAAACTCTACAGTAATATTATCGCTGTCAGATGATCAAGGATTATTCAACATCTTCCTCCCTGGCCAAAAAATTTCGGATCCGTCATTGTTAGGTAAATCACATAACAAAATAAACTTTTTTTTATTATCCTGGTCTTCTACAAACTTTTAAAATCATATATTATAGTTATTGTATAGTTTGTTATACAAATTGTTCAAAATAATTATTAATAAATTATAAAATAAAATATATATTTTGAGAGCAATGAAAAAGAAGAAAAAAAATCTTTTACGTTTTAAAAAAAATGATGTTAATAAAATTACGCAATTATTAAAAAGTACGTAATTAATAAAATTACGTATTTACGTATTCAAATTTCATTTATTACGAGAATTTCAATACAAAAAAATTCAATTGAAAAAGAATTTAAAAATTTTAATTATTACGAGATCTCGTAACAAAATTACGCAGTTAAAAAAAAGTCTAATATGTAAAACGCAATTAAACCTATTTTTTTTTTGTTCAAAACTGCTCTAACGTATTATCCTTGCTTCTTAATAATTATATACGAAATAAGTATGGATGAATATAGATTCATTTTCGTCAATAAGTATTGTCGTTAGTAATAAGTGTCAAAAGCTGCATTACAAATTTCAAAATTCTTAATATGTTTTATATTACTCACAATTTAAGTTATTTCAAGTAAAAATTTAATACTGTAAATATCGGATATTGATCCGAATCCAAAGTCTGAATTTGGATTGGTTGGAACGTTCATTTGCGTAGGACATTTTGTCCACCAAAAGCCAATCGAAGCGCAATTCATAAATAAAGTGTTGGAAATAATTTGACTTTGATCAAAATATCCTTCTTCTCCTAATACAAGGAAATTATTAAAAGGTTAGACATTAAATCAAAATAGTTATGCATTTTGATTTAATGTAAATATGTCAGACATTTTTTTTTTAAATTTGCAACTTCACATAGAAAAATATGTTTAACTGTTACTAAGTCATGGTTTTAATGTAAAAATTACTTACTTGCATTATTTGAGTCAAACATTTGATAAGAGATAAGATAATTACCATTGGTATCTTGATTGATGTTCACATTTCTATAATATGTTGTCACCTTATCTTGGAAGATGGAGGTTGTAATAATAACCTTAATATCTACAACAAAAGCGGCTGTAATTCTTACAAGTTTTTTTAAACCAATCCAAATATTGTCTGTTGAACTAAATCCTTCTTCGTATTGCATTAGAGTTCTATTCCAGAATTTTGGAGGACTATCTGATGATCGATAAAACATGATTGCCGAAGCTTTTAAATAATTATATATATATATATATATATATATATATATATATATATATATATATATATATATATATATATATATATATATATATATATATATATATATATATATATATATATAAATACATATATATATATATATATATACATATATAATATATATAGTAGTAGTAGTAGTAGTAGTAGTAGTAGTAGTAGTAGTAGTAGTAGTAGTAGTAGTAGTAGTAGTAGTAGTAGTAGTAGTGAAACCTGTAGGTTAAGGCTGCCTTATACGCAGAGCTGTTTTCAAGTAGCTTTGGAACAAGTCTCAAGTCAAGTCTCAAGTCACTGAGGTCAAGTCTCAAGTCAAGTCTCAAGTCATATAGTGACATGTCAAGTCAAGTCTCAAGTCAAGTCAAAAGAAAATTTAAAAAAAAATTTTTATAAGAAATTAAAATCACCGAACATTTATAAACAATAAATTTCATGAGTTAAAGAAAAAATGAACCAATCAGAACGCACACAAAAAAGTTGGAATTTTTTGAAAAAGAAAGAGCCTAAATGCGATATTTTTTTTCGAATCTCGCTTAGACTACAAACAAGTTAAACGTAAGTTAAAATAAAAACATTCGAAAATAAAAAATAGTTAAAAACAGTTGAATTAAAATAGAAGATAAATTGCTCCATTTTTGAAGAGACGGAAAATAATAATTTTAAAGTCGCTAAGCCGAAATTAGCAAGTCTCGAGTCAAGTTGCAAGTGTCACTCTCGAGTCGAGTCACTGGTGTGACTTAAGTCGGACTCGAGTTCGAGTCGTTGACTCGAACTCGAGTCCGACTTAAGTCACACCAGTGACTCGAGGTTGACTCGAGTCTCCAGCTTATATGTAAACCGTTCTGCTTATATGTAAACCGTTATCACGTAACCGTTATTAAGTAAACCTTTTTACATAAACCGTCATCACGTTTTTACAAACTTGTATTTCGATTTCGCCAAAAAAAAATTTTTGTTTACTTTATACTTTACAGTATACAATACGGCAAACTGTATACTAAATTTTTAGTATACAGTATATTAGCGATGTAAATATACATATATATATATATATATATATATATATATATATATATATATATATATATATATATATATATATATATATATATATATATATATATATATATATATATATATATATATATATATATATATATATATATATATATATATACAGGGCCGGCGCGAGTAGGGGTCACGTGGGGGGGGAGGGATGCCGTTACAACTTTTGCCGTTTAAAAAAAAAAAAAAAGGTCCGCGTTTTTTAAAATTTACAGACGGCCATAACGACATTTGCCGACTGACTTTACCGACTAACCTATCGACAGGGTCTAAATTTGCCGACTAACTAGTCAAAAAAGGTCACATTTGCCGACTAAGGGTCAAATTTGCCGACTAAAAGTCATTGATAGGGGGGGGGGAGGGGTGGTACACCCCCACACCTCCCTATCGCGCCGGCCTTGTATATATATATATATATATATATATATATATATATATATATATATATATATATATATATATATATATATATATATATATATATATATATATATATAATATATATATATATATATATATATATATATATATATATATATATATATATATATATATATATATATATATATATATATATATATATATATATATATATATATATATATATATATATATATATATATATATATATATATATATATATATATATATATATATATATATATATATATATATATATATATATATATATATATATATATATATATATATATATATATATATATATATATATATATATATATATATATATATATATATATATATATATATAGGGTAGATTAGGGTAATATGAGCACCTTAAGCAAAAATTGGAATATTTTCAAAAATAAATATGCTAGATCCAAATTTTTTGCAAATAAACAATTTTTAGGGATCCCTATTCATAATCTATTTAGATATTTGCGCACTTGACATTTTTTCTTAAAAACACAGAGGTTTTTAAAAAGTAGCAAAAGTGCTCGTATTACCCTGACCCCTTGGTAATATGAGCACTTGAAATTAGCTCAAAAAAATAGCATTGATTAAGTAAAAAAAGACCAACCTGCTTAATAGAACTAATTGTTGGAATATAAGGATTCGTGATTAACAAAACATATCATTAAAAGGTCAAATTTTAAGCTACATTTTGTTGAAACAATACTACTATTTTTTTTTTGCCATAAAAAAAAAAAAAAAAAAATTAATACATTGTTTTTTCAATTTTGTTAACTCAAACCTTTGAACCATAAAAATTAAAATTTTTTAGATTTAAGTTACAGAAAAATATTTACTATTGTTAATATATTAAAATTTTTTACTATGTTTTGTTTTTATTCAAGAAGCAATTAAAAACCACTGCTATTTTAGGACTTTAAACTAAGCAATTTCAATGATAAGCACTGGGTAATTTGAGCATGCTCATATTACACAAAAATGGTATCTTTAAATAAAGTCAAAAATAAATGTTTCTATGCATTATTTTTCAAACAAAAATGAATTGGATTTTTAGCTAATATATTTTTCTTTATGAAAAAATTAATTTCATTATTTTAGCACCAAAATATCGCGCCACATAATTATTCACGCGTGATGATTTTTTTTAACAAAGCAAAAAATTTAAAAGCGTTTTAATTAGATGATATCCGCTAATTACTGCGTATAAATTTATGCTAATTGTACTGATTCCTGTTATCACCACATAAAGTCGATTCGAAAAACATAAAGCAACTTTAACTTCACTGCTTACATCTAATAAATCTTTAAGTATGCTCATATTACCAAGGTGCTCATATTACCCTAATCAACCCTATATATATATATATATATATATATATATATATATATATATATATATATATATATATATATATATATATATATATATATATATAATTTTTTATTTGTTTCTTTGAAAAAATACATCAGTATTCTGATGTATTTTTTTTTTTTTTTTTTTTTGTTTTATAACATAAGAATTTTACAACTTCGTGCTTCATAAAAAAAAAAAAAAAGTAAGTAAAAACAGATAGGGACTCAAAGAAGATGAGGATGACAGTACGTCATCGCAATCTTTTCATAGAGCCCCTTTAATAAAATTTTAATAAAATATCGTATTACATTTCGTAAAAATATATACGTTATAAAATTTCAATTAAATCGTAGTAAATATCGTAATAAAATGCGTAATTCGCTAATAAGATTGTTAAACAACAACAACAAGAACAAAAAAAAGTAGAGTGGTAACATTAACTAAAAAAGTTCCTTTTTGAAAGGTATTCCATACTTTAGGACCTCGATATGAAATGCAATATTCTGAATATTTATTTATTATCCTAGGCAGTTTATATGTGTTCAACATATTTGCTCTAAGATTATAGTTGTCATTTTTATTTAATTCAAACTTGTTATTAAAGCTTATAGGAGAGATATTGTAATTGTAACGATACATGAAAATTAAATGCTGTTAGACATTTATTTCAAACACATTCATCATTTTCATATCACTCATTAAGGGTTTAGCGTGTTCACGCCTATCCTTATAGTAAATGATTCTGCAAGCATGTTTTTGCAAACTATACAGTTTTTTAAGCTTTGATGTTTGAGTACTTGCCCAAGAAATGTTTGCATAGCTGATGAAGCTATGTATTAGCCCCAAGTAGATTAATTTCAGAACAATATTGTTCTCAAACAATATTGTTTTATTGTTATAGTTTTAACACTAAAAGTTAAATATTTGAACTTGGTTAGGAAGAAAAATGAATGAAAGAAAGGTGAATGTCCCTGCTACGGAGTTGAAAGCTAGAGAACTAAAAAAATCTAAAATAGTATAAAATACAGAATATAAATTTTTAAAAAAAAAATGATGTTGATGTGAGCAATCATAATAACTCTGCATTTAAAAATGTATTTGTAAACGATCTAACAAAATGGAACTTAAATTACAAAATTATAAAATCTTTTTTAGTTCAACATGGTCCAAAATATGTAGAGTTAAGGAAGTATTCTACTACAAATTGCCGTTGCTTTAATAATGGCCGCTGAATTTTAGAAATAAAAATATTGAAAAAAAAAAGAGAGGAAATGGTTGTTTTATTGCAAAAGTAAAGATGCCTTTAATTTGTATCTAGTGAATATACTATTCCTTTTGTCAGCGTGATGCGTTTGTGGGCTGGAAACATCTTAACCCACAAATTCAAAATCACGAAAATTCGTGGTAACATAAGCTATTTTAGGAAATAAAAATTATTAGAAAAAGGACATGAAAAGGATAAACTAATTGACGAGTTTGCACCAGCAGCTCTGAAAAGAAAAATTCGGAAATGGAGCCATACATAGACTATAATTTAAAATTTACATTATTTTGTGGTAAAAACAGCTTTTTGTGAACACGAAAAAAGTAGAGATTGATTTTTGAACCTGATAAAATTATTGAGTTAGTTTGATGTTGGTTTCAAAAATTTCTTTGAACCGTATATAAAAAACTGTACTAGTTATTTGTCGCCAACAACCGATAATGAATGTATTAATTTATTATCTGCGACAGTAAATAGTGAAATAATAAAAGAAATTTAAGTTATATGTTTAAATGTATAGTACAATAGATAGAAAGACAAATGTATCGTAATAACACATTTGTGTTTCAAAATGTATAGTATATGATAGAAACACAAACGTATCGCAAATGTATCACAAATGTATCACAAACACAAATTAACCGTAATTATTAGGTATATGAAGTTGTCAGATAATGAATATAGGATTGAAGAAAGGTTCGTTGGTTTTATAAACACTACGGAAATAACTCGAGAAGAATTTGTTTTAATGTTTTGCAATGGAAGATTTAGAACCTAAACTCTATTATCAGACAAATATTCTAAAATAAATAAAGATAATGAAATAAAATAAATAATTTATAATATATAAAA